AGAGAGAGAGAGAGAGAGAGAGAGAGAGAGAGAGAGAGAGAGAGAAAGAGAATCTCCACCTGATCCCAGCGTTTTGTCTCCTATTTTTCCCTCGTTCTCACCACCGTTCCTTCCCGGGGTAGGAAGAACCCAACAGATCCTCACACTTGTCTGGGTGGACGCGACGGAACGCTACACCTCGAAGACAAGGAGGCCAAGTGAGCCTCTACGTCACGACTCATTTGTAGGCCAATCGCAGGATTTGAAAAAGGCGGAGGCGGGATTATGCAAAATATAGAAAGAAACCCGCGAGCAGAGCTGTGAAAGACCGTTCGGTCCACGCAGCCTACCAGGATCTGGAGGCAGAAAAGGCGCAATCAGATTTCAGGCAAGACAGTACCAGTAAAAACAGCGGTCACTTAAATGGAAGATGCTGTTATATTTTATAGCTATAGAGTATCTTCTGGGGAACTGACAACTAACCTGCCTGAACTAATAACTGAGCTGTCTGAACTAATTTTATCTTCAGGATCGTCAGTGGGAGAAGTGAAAACACCATCCAGGTCTGTACTTTGCAGATCGCCACCGTGCACGCCTTCGTCGTACATTACGTTCCCCAACCCTTTTTTCAGAGGATATAGGTGTTTTCCGGTCCAATAGACAATAACACAAAATACATAATGGAGCAATGGGATGGGAGGACTGCTCCACGCCGTTCCTCTCGGGGGAAAAATGTTGAAATTCCTATAAACACGCATTTCATATTCACGAAGCAAGGCCAGACGGTGCCGGCAAGGATCTAACCAAGCCCCTGGGGTTTTACAGAAGAACCCGCGCGACCCGAAGGGGGTTCCGGGCAGCTGGTGGCGTGTATGACGTACCGGAAGTGCGAGCCGTCATCGGCTGATGACGCACACTGAGCGCCGGAAGTGCGAGAAGTTGGCGTCAGGGTCCGCTATGGCAGCGGCCTTGGCGCGCCGTAACCATGTGTGGGTCGGCACCGAGACCGGGATCCTGAAAGGTGAGTACAGCGTCGGATGTCGGAAGCTGTGGGGGCCGCTCTCTCCTGACCCCGGGGCCTCTGACACCTTGTTCCGTAGGGGTGGACCTCCAGCGGAAGCACGCGGCCAACTTCACGACCACTGGGAAGCCTCAGCGTGAGGCGGCGGTGAGCGCCCTGTGCTGGGGCGCGGGCGGCGAGACCCATGTAGGTGCCCGGGCGCGGCCGTCTCCGCCGTCATTGTCCCTGCCGTCCCGTCCCCAACCCTGCGCCTTTTCTGCCCTCAGATCCTGGTGGGCTGCATGGATCGAACGGTGAGGTGCTTCAGCACCGAGGAAGGGGCGTTCCAGGGCCAGAGGCGCTGCCCAGGCGGGGAGGGCGCGTTCCGGGGCCTCGCCCAGGCTGGCGGGTAAGGCCGACTTCCTGCAGCGAATCCTTGGATGACACAGGCAGGGATGGGCCACAAGGACCCGAGCTCCTATAATCACAGGATACCTGCAGAGTTCTAACACTGCAAAGTGCAAGGGCTGCAAGTGAAGCTTCTGGTTTAATAAAATCTGCACTCTCTAGGGATTTTTTTCTTGACAACAGTATAATGTTTTGCATAACTCCGGTGAAGTCACTTAATAGTCTAGAGCTTGTTCCCAAACAACGACTAACAACTAGCAACAAGGTAGGAAAGCTTCCAAAGTAACAGGAAGGTCTGGTAGTTAGGTTACAGGGCTGGCATGTCTTCCAATATGCTGTAAAGGCTGTGGACAGGCTGTGTTGGTTTGGACAGGCGAACCTTGGAAAGGTTCTGTAGGAGATGGAGGTTTTGAACTGGGTCTCCAAGGATGAGTAGAATTGTGACAGATGAAGTGAAAGATGAGGACATTCTAGAAAGTGGGTACTGTCCAGGCAAAAGACAAGGATGGGTACAGGTAATTGATACAGAGATCAGGCTACAAGGTATATAATTAGGGTAAAAATAACATTTGGAGGCTAAAGCCAAGGAAGCATTGTAATATGGTACTGTTTGTATTCAGTTGAGATTAAATACAAAGGGCTTTAAGAATTAGGTTAAAGCTAGGCATGGTGGTGCACACCTGTAATCCCAGCACTCAGGAGGCTGAGGCAGGAAGATCACTGTGCGTTCAAGTCCTGCCTGGGCTACAAAGTGAGTTAAAGGCCAGCCTGAACTGCAAAGTGAAACCCTGTCTCAAAAAGGGAAAAAAAAAAAAAAGAAAAGATATGCACTTTTTTTTTTCCTTCGATACAGTGTCTTACTCTATAATTCAGGCTGGCCTTGAAGTCATGGCAGTCTTCCTGACTCAACCTCTCGTGTGCTAGGATTACACACATGCACTGCCATGCCCAGCTGAGAGGTTTGCACTTCTGTAGGTGTTAGGGAGTCAGTGGGTCTTGAGCAGGAAGTGCTATGTGTATTCCTGAGCCTGTAGGAATGTGGAAGATGGGAGAGAGCAGTGGTGATGGTTGTGGGGTTGTTGCCACAGCCCTGGCCAGCAGTATAGACAGCCTGAACCTAGGAAGGTAAGGTGGACAGAAGGGAGGAAGGTCATAGGCCCAGGCTGCATAGGTCCTGGGAAGAGACTCCTGTGGGCTTCTGGGGAGGGGTATTTATGTGGAGACATTGACATCAGTGCCTAAAACGCACAGCAGGGAATTTAGTAGTAGAAGCTAGAGGTTGGAGATGGAGCTCAAAGGTAGAGCGCCTGCCTAGCATGAGTGAGACCTGGGGTTTGACCGCTAGTACTGAGAAGAAACACAAAAAAATGAGTGTGGTGGTGCATATGTGTAATCTTAGCCACTCAGCAGGCAGTGAGGCCAGCCTGGGGTATTCAGCAAGATCCTCTCCTAAAGCAACTACTAAAAAAAAAAAAAAAAAAAGAATAGAAATGGTGATTCACTCTGGCCAAACCCTTAATCCAGCTCAGTCCCATTTTAGTTCTTTTTTTTTTTTTGGTTTTTCTCCGGTACCGGGAACCATTTTAGTTCTTTCAGAGGTAATGATATACTCCCCAGGTGTCAACTCAAAATTCAGAAAGATGGGGGCCAGATATCCTAATTTAGCTGTGAAATAGGAAAAGCACTCTGCTTTGAAGTCTAGCTTTGGATCTGACATTTACAGATTAATCCTAATTTCTCAGAGTATCCATGTCCTCACTTACAAAACTGGTAACCCCTCCCACTGTTGAATAAACTGAGATAACAAGCAAGCAGGAAGGTGTCTGTCCCACTCCAGGTAGCCAGAGGCTTCCTGGCAAACTGGGTCCTTAGGAGGGAACCCACCAGCCCTGAAACCCCTGCCCCCAGGAACCAACTTAGAAAAAGACCAGCAAGGCCTTACCAGGAATTTGGAGGTGTTGGCTGGGTTTTTAATCCCAACAGTACCCTTTGCCTGCAGCATGCTCATCACGTGTGTGGATTCCGGGGTCCTCAGAGTTTGGTGTGGCGACGACAAGGAGGCACCCTCCGACCCAGTGAGGCTCCCTTACTGGCAGGCGGGAGGGCAGGAGCCAGGGCGGGGGCAGGCTGTGGGAAAGGGAAAACCGAGACTCTGGAACTGACTCATCTCTGCTTCTTTTCAGCTCTTGGAACTGAGGGTGGGTCCTGGGGTGTGTAGGATGCGCCAGGACCCGGCACGCCCCCACGTGGTTGCCACTGGGGGGAAGGAGAATGCCCTGAAGGTGTGGGACCTGCAGGGGTCAAAGGAGCCCCTGTTTAGGGCCAAGAATGTGAGTGGTGGTGTGGAGTGAGGCCATGGCCAAACCACTGATGGGGAGCAACCAGACCAGGGTGGTGAGGGGCTGAAGCAAGCAGCCCAGCCAGCCCCCAATACCCTGCTCCACAGGTGCGGAATGACTGGCTCGACCTGCGGGTACCGATCTGGGACCAGGACATACACTTCATCCCTGGATCGCAGAAGCTCATCACATGCACAGGGTACCACCAGGTAAGGCACCATCTCACCCCAGCCTGGGCCTAAAGTGGTGCCCCATAGCCACCTTCTTTTTTTTTTTTCCCAGCACTGGAATCGAACTCATGACCTTGGGCTTGCCAGGCAGGCACTGTGCCACTGAGCTAAATCCCCAGCCCCCAAACTGCAGTACTTTCTTTTTTTTGTGGTACCAGAGATCGAACTCACGACCTTGCACCTGCCAGGCAGCACTTATGCCACGGAGCTATATCCCCAGTCTTTTTATTTTTCTTTTTGGTCTTTTTTTGTTTTGTTTTTTGAGATAGGGTCTCGCTCTGCAGTTCGGGCTGGCCTTGAGCTCACTTTGTAGCCCAGGCTGGTCTCAAACTCGCAATGATCCTCCTGCCTCAGCCTCCTGAGTGCTGGGATTACAGGTGTGCGCCACCACGCCCGGCCATTTATTTTTTTAGTCCCGTATCCCCCCACCCCATCCTGGGAATCGAACTCATGACCTCGAGCTAGCCAGGCACGCGCTGTGCCACTGAGCTAAATCCCCAGCCTAACCACCTTCTTATACCCCTGCTTCCCTCCCTCTCTAACCCTGCCCTAGCACTGAGCCTGTGACTTACTCTTTATTTTTTTTGTTTTGTTTGAGACAGGGTTTCACTTTGTAGCCCAGGCTGCCTTTGAACTAGCAGTGATCCTCCTGCCTCCTGCCCAAATGCTGGGATTACAGGCATGTACCCCCATGCCAGGCTGATTTTCCCTTTCTTGATGGGATTTCTTGTGCTGTGGCTTTGATTCTTCTATCTGGAAGAATCCACAGGGTATAGGTGTCATATATGGACTGTTCTGGTCCTGATGCAACAACTCTGGCTTGTTTTTGCCAGGGTTGACTCTCCCATTTGGCCTCTGCCACTCTGTTCTGCATGAAGGGCCCAACTAGGGACCCCTGGCTTATCCCAGGTGAAGTCTTGAGGTCCAAGCAGGACCCAGCCATTGCCCACCCTCCCTCCGGCTCCTCCTGTGCCTCCACTCAACACATCAGAGGGCTCTCTGTCCTCCCTCCTTCAGGCTGAACCTCTCTGCTTGAAAATTGGGACCCTCTGACTGTTAGACCCACCTTCCCATCTTTCCACTCCCCCTAGACAGCAACGCAGGGGACCTCACCCCTCACATTTTTGGACAGCTCCGCTCCTCACCCCCAGCACTCAGGGATGAGGTGTGTATTTCCCGGCAGTCACGAACAAGCAGGAAGAAAGGATGATGACATGGAGATGTTGGGGGCAGTGTACAGAAAGGGGCGTGTTCTTCCAACACCATGGTCTTCCTCTAGGTCCGTGTCTATGATCCTGCCTCCCCCCAGCGCCGGCCAGTCCTAGAGACCACCTACGGAGAGTATCCACTGACAGCCATGAGCCTCACTCCTGGGGGCAAGTGGGTGCCTACAGGGGCAGGGTGGGGGTCAGAAGGGGATCCCATAGGTTTGCCCACCCCACCTGCTCTTGTCTCCTCTGCAGCTCCATTATTGTAGGGAACACTCATGGGCAGCTGGCAGAAATTGATTTTCGGCAAGGTGAGCCTACCACGGGTGTGTGGAAGGGGCAGGGAGGAAGTGAGGTCTCTGTCCAAGGCTGTTCGGGGAACCATGAGCCCTCATCCAGTGCCAGAAGGCCAGGGTTCAAAGCTTTGGTTGCACCAAAAAGCACCTGACTATAGTGTAGCCATTTCACTCCCTGTGCCCTAGTTTCCTCACCTGTAAAATAAAAAAACTACCAGTAACCTCCTCACGGGGCTACTGTGAGGCCCAAATGCTGAGATGTGAAGTGCTCTAAGCAGTAAACAGTGGTAAAGGCCCTTGGCTGGCTTCACCCTTCTCCAGGTCGCCTGCTGGGCTGTCTGAAGGGGCTGGCAGGTAGTGTCCGAGGGCTGCAGTGCCACCCTTCAAAGCCACTGCTGGCCTCCTGTGGCTTGGACAGAGTGTTGAGGATACACAGGATCCGGAACCCACGCGGATTGGAGCATAAGGTGAGCCCTGCCTCCAGCCTAGCTCCCCCTGGAACACAGCCCAGTGCCCCTGCACTCCCTGCATGTTTCTGTCTTAATGTGGACTGCTCATCCTTTGCAGGTTTATCTCAAGTCTCGACTGAACTGCCTGCTCCTGTCAGGCAGGGAAAACTGGGAGGTGAGGCGCCTGGGAACCGGCCAGTGGGAGCCACTTCACAGGTGTCAAGATGCCCCTGCAGAGGGGAAAAGGAGGCGCCTGGGCACCGTGCCAGCGCTGTTCATGGTCCTGCCCCGTTCCTTAATTTCTCTGGGGGGTACTGACAGGGTCACCTCAAGGGTGACACAGCCTAGAGCACGGTGGCAGTGGCTCTGGGCACCCAGAGCCTTTATTTACCAGCCAGGGCTTCGTTGCCTTTTTCTGACCCGAGCTTTCTGCCTGTACCAGGATGAGCTGGAAGAACCCCAGAAGCCTAGCGAGGAGCCCCCCGAAGACTCGGACGTGGACGAGCTCTGGGCATCCTTGGAGGCAGCTGCCAACGGGAAACTCCCACGTTCAGACCAGACCCTGAGGGCCCCCGGGGCCCAAAAGAGGAACAAGTGTCCCAGAGCCGGCGGCCTCTGCGTCCCCAGCCCTCAATAAACCATTTCCCACCCGCTGCGTCTGGACCCCTGTGTCGGCGGGGGCGGGGGCGGGAGCGGGGCCGGGAGGGGGCGCCCGACGTCACAGAGGCTGCGCGGCGCCCGGCAGAAGCTAGCAAACGCCAGGGGCCATGGGCTGCTGCCAGGACAAGGACGCAGAGGGGGGCCCGGTGCCCAGAGGGAGGCCACTCCAGACGGACGGTCCTGGAGCCCGCGCCAGCAGGTTCGCGGGCGACGAGGAGAGGGACGCCGCGGGCGGCCGGGAACGCAGGTCCGAGGACAGCTTCCTGATCACCGTGCTGTGGCGGCGGCTCTCCATGTTCAGCCGGCGGGGCTCCGCACGGTCATCCGCGAGACATTCGGAAGTGATCCCGAGGCAGGAGGAGCCGATTCCGGAGGACATGCACGAGGACAGCCAGAAGCAGCCGGAGAAGGGCTAACCCAGTCCCCGAGGAATAAAACGTGCCCCAACTCTGCGGGGCGCTCCAGGCTCTGGTGCCTGTTCTCTGTCGGTGCGCGGGCGCTTTAAGGCTCCCCACCGCCCCGCGGGGCGACCGGCCCTCGGCTCAGTGCTCGCTTGGGGGCGGAGCCACAGTGGCGGCTCCGCCAATGGGAAACCCAAGCTGCGAGCGCGGCAGAGGAGGGGCGCGGCGCGGCTCGTCGTGGGGGCGGGGCTACGCGTGGGTGACGTGGCGGTGTCCACTCTGAGGTCTGGTGTGCGCTGCTTCGGCGCCAGGAGGCGGCGGCAAACGCCCAGGAGATTGCGGCGGCGGCGGCGGCGGTGAGGAGGTAGGGTCTGCTCTGAGCAGGGCCCGGCCGCTCCGTTAGCTCGGGGCAGCGGCGACTCAGGCTCGGAGAAGAGAGAGGGAAAGGAAGCTGGGGCCGGCGGACAAGTTCTGCCGGCCCGGCTCGGGCGAGCGAAGGCCGCATCGTCCAACCAGCAAAGCCCCAGTACGATAGAGCGTCGAACGTAGCCAATCAGCGGCTTTGGCTTTGCGGAAAGCGGGACTTTTCCGGGGCGGTACTTCCTGTTTCGAATAAACACCCGGAGGTCCCCCTTGGCCCGGTGAAGTGCGTCCCTCGGGGGCCACGGCCGCGTCTCGCAGTGGGCCGCCGCTCGGCGGGTTGGAGCAGATCGAGGCGGGCCCTTCCCGCCGCCGAGCGCTGAGCGCGGGACCCGGGCTGGGCGGGAAGCGCGGGAAGGCGGCGGCCGCGATGACGCTCTCCCCTCCGCCAAGGTCCGAGCTGATGCGGCCCAATGATCCCGCGGAAACGCTACGGGGCTAAGAATACGGATCAGGGCGTCTACCTGGGGCTCTCGAAGACACAGGTCCTGTCCCCTGTCCTGCCCCCTGCCACTGCGGGCGCAGGCCGCAGCGACGTCGCGCCCGCACCCCCGCCCGCGGCGCCGGCCCCGCCCCCGCCCGGCACCATGTCCTGCAGGGACCGGACCCAGGAGTTCCTGTCCGCCTGCAGGTCGCTGCAGAGCCGGCAGGTGAGGCCGGACGGGGGCGGGGCGTCGGGAGCAGGGCGGGTGCTGGGCGGGGGGGCCCTGAGATCTTCCGCGTTTGCGAACCGGAGACGAGGACCTAGGCTGTTTAAAGAACCCCCAGAGAGTGGGATCGCTACCCCGGGAGAAGGCTGCCGTAAGGTGTTTGGTTTGGATCAAAAAGTACTTTCCGATGGAGTCTGTAGCCAGAAACATGCACCAGAGTCCTTGTTCCGGCTAGTTCTGCCACAGACTGCTCTGCAACCCTGGGGAAGCTAATTTAGCTGTGCCTCAGTTTTTCTTTTCTGAAATACAGAAAATGGTGGAGAGAGGAAGTTTTCTAGGTCAGCAATTTTTCTCAAAATCTCTTTAGAGTTCTCTTTTGAATATTAGGTTGCCTTGCTTCAGTCTAGACTTTTTGAATCCAAGTGGGACCTGAGTAACTTCTTCTTTTTTTTTTTTTTTTTGAGACAGGGTCTTGCTATGCAGTTCAGGCTGGCCTTGAACTCGCTTTGCAGCCCAGGCTGGTCTCGAACTCTCAAGTATCCACCTGCCTCACCCTCCCAAGTGCTGGGATTACAGGCGTTGGGCAGCACGCCCAGCCTAAGTAACCATTTCATAAGATTATACTGTTCAGTTCCTGTTAACAGTTGCTCTTTTATGTGATATGCAAGAACTTTTCGGTTTCCTTGACTTTTTGACTCCCTGACTCCAGGAGGAGAGTGGCCATATTAGTTACAGTTTATTTAGTGCTTAACAACGTATCAGAGAGCTGTCTGAAGTACTTTACACCTTCTGGGGTATTGATGTTGGAAGTAATAGGTGGTGGATGAATTGTTTTCATCTTATAAAGGAGTAAAAAGATTCAAAATAGTTTACTTTCCCCAATCCCACACCTCCTAAAGGGTGGGTTGAAGCCTTAGGCCCGTGTTCACTTGTGTCTAGTTGGCCACTATTCCACCAACTGATCTAGATCGGCTGACGTGGATGTTACCAGCATTGGAGTTCACTGGACAGGTGAGGAAGTGAACGCTGGAAATGGGTAGGAGGAAACTGAAGTTGGCCCTCTTGACTTGACTTTTCAGAATGGAATCCAAACAAATAAGCCAGCTCTGTGTGCTGCCCGACAGCGCAGCGAATTCACCCTTATGGCCAAGTAAGTGGAGAACAGCTCTGTGTGGGGCAATGTCCTGACTCAGAAGTGGGCTTGCCTCTGGTGGATTGGTTGTGAGGGCTGTGATGGCTTGAACTGGACCTAATGGGGTAATAGTCCTCTCCTACCTTCCACAGTATTCTCATTAACGATCTTTTGCAGGCGCATTGGAAAAGACCTCAGCAACACATTTGCCAAACTGGAGAAGCTGACAATCTGTGAGTGTTCTCGGAGTCTTTTAGAAGTGTGGCAGTGAGGCAAATAGGGTAAAGGAGCCGAACCCCTGAGCTGTGTTTCATCAGAGAGGGTAGTGGCTGTCAAACCCAGGTCTTGTGAATGCTAGGGCCACGCTCTGCAGATGAGCCATGTCACTGGTAGCCCTTTGAGCCTTATTACAATGTCACATCTCTTGTCTGCAGTGGCAAAGCGCAAGTCTCTCTTTGATGATAAAGCGGTAGAAATCGAGGAGCTAACGTACATCATCAAACAGGTGAGCTGCGGGCTGTTCGGTCACCCTGCATTCTGATCATGTTATTCTGGTCAACTTGCTGTTGCTGTGGAGGTCCGGAGCTAAACACACTGCTGCTCCATTGACTCCTAGACCCTTACTGTCATCTGCTACGTGAAAGGCAGTGTACTGGGCACTGGTGACACAAACCTGAGGCAAGATTCTTACTTTTGAGTTTATTATCTAGAAAAACTGTCCAGCTTTGTAAGTCTATCCTTGTGGGTATGAAGAGTGGTATTCAAAGGCTCTCATAAAAAGTAATGTGGGGTCACGGGGCATGGTGATGCACATCTGTAATCCCAGCACTTGGGAGGCTGAGGCAGGAGGATCGTCGTGAATTTGAGACCAGCCTGAGCTACAAAGTGAGCTCAAAGCCAGCTTGAACTGCATAGCAAGACTCTGCCTCAAAAAGACAAAAAAAAAAAAAAAAGTGTGGAGGTGCTGGAGGGTGTGACAAGGGGCTGAAACCTGAGTTGTGCAGGGCAGTGGGAGGCTGTCACCTCTCAAGGAGGCCTGCCCCAGTTGTGGTGTTAGTACAGCATCAACCCAACTCAGCCTCCTTACTATGCTGTTCTCTTTTGTATAACATTTGTACTTGCAAACGTTCTCTATAATTGGCAGTGTTTGTGGTTTGTGTTCCTTCCCCACTACCTCCCCCCACAAAGAAAAAAGCCAGGCATGGTGGCACATACCTAAAATCCCAGGACCCTGGAAGTCTGAGGCAGGAGGATCGTAAGTTTGAGCCCCACCTGTGCAACTTGGTGACTTAGTAAGACTCTATCTCAGAATTAGAAAGGGCTGGGAATGTAGCTCATTGTGAAGACTCTGGGCTCCATGCTTTGTATGGAGAAGGTTGGTTTTTGTTTCTTTGTGGTATACGATTAATGATGAGAAGTTCATAGTGTACATAACACATCCTAATTCTTTTTATGTCCTCTTCCCCTCCCTCTCCACTTCCTCCCATCTCTTGGTCCGTTTTCTGTCCAGGACCTGGCCAAGATCTCCAACTGCCTGTATGAGGGATATGGCAAAGTATGAAAAAAGAAACAAATTTAGTAATTCATAAAAAGGGGCCTGGAGGCTGGGAGTTCAGTGCCTCAGGATGGGTAAAGACAGTGACACTCTGAGCTAGCCACTTTTTGCACAGTAGTCAGCGGGAGTATCAGATGACTTAGAGTGTGGTGGTGATCTTAAACTGATGGGGATCTTACGGTTTTGGGGGGTTTTTTTGTTTCGTTTTTTTGGCTTTTTTGAGACAGGGTCTCACTATGCAGTTCAAACTGACCTTGAGCTCACTTTGTAGCCTACGCTGGTCTCGAATGCGCAACGATCCTCCTGCCTCAGCCTCCCAAGTGCTGGAATTACAGGCGTGCACCACCACGCCCGGCTGAGGATCTTATGTTGGTGAGGATCAGTCTGGATGACTCAGAAGGTAGCAGTGATCCTGTGCTAATGTAATCTTATAGTATGTGGTCCCCAGATTTCCCCCTTTTTGTTTTTGTAATTGGGAAGTTGATACAGCGTATAGCCTATGATGGCCATCATAGCAATAAACATATTCTCAGGAGTTTGTGGGAGGCCCTGTCACGTCACCAGCATGTGAGCCTCCTGTGCCATCTTCTTTAGTTGTCCCCAGGAGGGCTCTGTAGGCTGTGTGGTCTCAGTAGTTGCGGTGTGGGCTCTCCTCCAGGGTCATCCTGAAGAATGCTCGTCCTGGAGGTCTGGATGGGAACAGGCTCCACCATGGGGTTGGGATGTTCCTTTCTCCATGGTCACATGGTCTGAGAGGGCAGCCGCAGTGGCATTCCATTGTCCCCATGTTATCAACTGCACTGGGCCATCCCACTTTCCTGTTTGAATGTCCTTCTATAGGATGTGAGCCATAGGCATGCGCATTGGATTTGTCCTTTTGCCAATGGAGTTCTGATGGAGGGTATTTACTTTCTATGACCCGATTTAAAAAATTTAGGGTAATGATAGCAAAATGTAATTGTGCATGTGGAGGTAGCCATATTCCGCCTTCTTGTTTTTGTAATTGTGTTTTACCAGATTTTTTGTGAAATTAAAACATGTATAATCAGAGCATGAACATTAGAATGTAAAGCAGGTTAAGAAAAGACTCAATTCTAGAAGCTGTTTCTGAGGGATTGGAATAACCCACTGACTTTTAGACCCCTCTCTTTATGGAGTCTGATATTTTATCATAAGTCTCTCTAGTTTTAGGTGATTTAGCTAAAGAATTTAAAGATTTTTGTTGAGCCTTTTTTTTTTTTTTGGAACTGGGACTCGAACTCAGCACTTCCTGCCCCTGAGCTATATTCCCAGCCCCTGTTGAGCTTTTTTTTTTTTTTGAGCTTTTATAGATTTTATTGTGCTTTTTTTTTTTTTTTAAACCATAACAGTGGTTAGCTACTGGCATAGCTGGAAGCTGCCAGAAGAGGTCAGCAGTTGGACCCCTTTTTATATCTAGCTTGTTATTATGGCATTGCTTTATATATCTTTTGCTTATACTTTTTTATTCAAAACCAAGTTAAAGTGAGACTTGTGTTAATCAGATTAATATCTTGCTGTTTGTCAAGGTCAGTTAAGTCTCCTCAGGCATTTCTTTAGAACTATATAAAGAACCTTGGGGGCTGGGGATTTAGCTCAGCGGCACAGCACCTGCCTGGCAGGCACAGGGTGGTGAGTTCAATTCCTAGTACCGGAAAAACAAAACAAAACAAAACAAAAGAACTTCTCAGCTCCTGTGTCAGTCTCAGCCCACAGGGTGGGTCACAGCCTTGCTGGGCCATGCTGCTTTCTGTGAAAGCATGAGTGTCTTTGGTGACCCTCCTTTGGCACACTGTGCACTTGTTGGTACCCATCCCCTGAGGCCTAGCAGAAGGAGGTTGGGTGACTCACCAAAGTTGTGGGGTCTCATAGAGGAGGTTCCCTCTTGTCCTGCGTCCTTGTTGACCTGAAGGCCAGTGCCAAAATATTGGCTGTCCTCCTGGCTGAGTTATCTTTCTAGTTTTGGTCTTTAAACTTGAGTTGCCAGCCAGATGTGATGGCGCATGCCTGTAATCCCAGCACTCGGGAGGCTGAGGCAGGAGGATCATTGCAAGTCAAGACCAGCCTGGGCTACAAAGTGAGCTCAAGGATAGCCTGGGGGCTGGGGATTTAGCTCAGCGGCAAAGGGCCTGCCTGGCAAGCGCAAGGTCGTGAGTTCAGTTCCCGGTACCGGAGAAAAACCAAAAAAAAATAAAAATAAAAAATAAAATAAAAAAATAAAAAAAGGATAGCCTGAATTGCATAGCACAACCCTGTCTCAAAAAAGACAAAAAAACGCAAAAAGCTTGAGTTGTCCAACACCCACTGGAAAAGATCAGTGACATCAGCATTATGCCGGGAGCAGTGAGCTTAACTACTATAATTTTATCTCAATGTGAAACACTTTGAAGTATAAAATGTAGCCAGAGGGCTGTTATTTTTTATCAGTTATGGTTGTTGTAGTAGTGGAATCTCTGCACAATGTTAACAGACAACAGTTACATAAGTTTTACAGAGAAAATTTGAAATTAAATACTGCGTATAGTCTGTTAGCATAACAATCATGATGAACGGTTTTGTAATACACTTAACTATCCATCTTAGTATAGAACAGAGTAACACATATAACATTACATTGCATAAATTTTTTTTTAAACTATCATTGACTAATGACCTCATGTTGGCTTGACATCTACTTCCTATTGTAGTAGCTGGAGCACAAGAAAAAGGCAGATATCTGAGTCTAAAACAAAAAGGCTATTACTATAAATAATCCCAGTTTTTACATCCTGCCAGACTTGTACACCTGGAAGGCATGAATACATTTAATACTGCATGAGATTAGCAAGAATGAATGTCATAGGTATATGGAAGTCTTTGTCACTTAATTTAGTTTTATACCAAAAGCATCCTTTAATGAAACCTGTTTTACCCAGAGAAAGCTTAACTTTTTGATGATGACCAATATATACATCTTACAGTAATGTGTTTCACAGTGTTTATCAGGGTGTGTCTCCCATAAGGCTGTGGAAATTACTGGGGTCTCATTAATGAACAGAAACTGGAATAAGATATATCCAGGCCGCTGCTCCTTTATTCACCAAGGAGAGTCCTGTCCAACAGTTCCTAAGCCTAGGGGATTCCCATTTAATTATTTTAACAAATTTTTGGTGACCTCTGAAAAACAGATTGTAACAATTAACACATTTTATTTATTTAGTACTGGGCATCGAACTCAGGACCTTGCACTTGCCAGACAGATGCCATGCCACTGAGCTGTACCCACAGCCCAACACTTCTGTTTTTTGTCTTTTTGAGACAGAGTCTTGCTATCAGTTCAGGGTGACCTTGAGCTCATTTTTTAGCCCAGGCTGACCTCAAACCCAAAATGATAATCCTGCCTCAGCCTCCCAAGTGTTGGTATTACAAGTGTGCATCACCACACCCAGCCAACACATTATTTTTAACCAAATGAAAGATTCTCCAGTTACTGTACGTAGACAACATTATGCGTTGTATTTGTAAAACCAGTCTTGACATTTTGATCAGCTGGCAGCCTAGTGGAAGCATGTTCTTAGTTTTGGTGACATCTACAAACAAGCTTAAGTTATAGACAAATGTTTCAAAAATGCGAAAAGGCAAAAAGAGAAAATGTTGGTTTCAAACAAAACAGCCGTAAGTATGGTAGCTAATCACAAATTGGACAGACAAACACACGCACGACAATTCTTTTATAAAACCAGAAGTGCACTCAGATGTACTTGGCCAAGTTGATTATAATAATTTTACAGTTTTTAAGTTTGTAACTATAAATAGACTAGTCAACCTTTTTTAGGTCAATTAACAAAGATCTGTTGTAATAAGAATTAGAGGGGTCTGGGGATTTAGCTCAGCGGCACACCACCTGCCTGGAAAGCACAAGGTTGTGAGTTTGATTCCCTGTACTGGAAAAAAACCAAAAAAAAAAAAAAAAAAATCTGCCTTCGCCCGGTATGGTGGTACATGCCTGTAATCCCAGCACTCGGGAGGCTGAGGCAGGAGGATCACTGTGAGTTTGAGACCAGCCTGGGCTACAAAGTGAGTGCAAG